TTGTAACTCTGAAGACATTGATTAGCTTGTTGATTAGGGTTTGAACTAAACTCTGCAGGCTCTCTAGGGCTGGATTTGAGGAACCCTGCAGTAGAATGATTATCAGAAACCTGGTTAACCAATGAGTTCTATACTACTCACCTGAATATCACTGGAGATCCTTTTGATAACCTTGGATAACCAATGTGCCCTCAAGTCAGATAAAATCCTTACCTGAACCCCCGTCGGGATCGCTTACAAACCAATTGATATATTCATTCAAAAGTTAAGCTTTAAAGTTTTAAAGGTGTCGAGACACAGTTATAGAAGGGAGCTAATACCAGCCCAAACAATCTGTGCACACTCGTACAAGATCTCTCCGCGAGAAAGTCAAAGAGACAGACCCTGATGTAAATGGAAGCTTATATGGACTCTGCTATGTCATTGGTCAAGGTCACGTGTGACTGAATCAATATGGGATTCTCTTATTATACACGAGTGTATGACCCTTTTCGACTTTTTATGTTTATCCGTCTTTGGCAGTCTGGAACTATGGAATAGAACTGCATGCATTCTGGGGAAGAACATTGTTTTGGTTGTGCTTCGGCTCTGCGTGACTGTGTGGATAAATATTATCCCTCTGTTCATAAAACATTCTAGACTTAAAGTCCCTGTAAAGTCAAAATTAAAGGGATAGTTCGGCCAAAAATGATATTTAACACATGCATTACTCACCCTCAAGCCGTTCGAGATGCATATGTCAATCTTGTTTCAGACGAACACATTTTCAGTTATTTTAGAAAATGTCTTAGACCCTTCAGTGGATATAATGTGAAGCAATGGGGTCCACCTCCTTCAAGTCCCAAAATGTGCATACATCCTTCACAAAAGTAATCCATCCGGCTCCAGGGGGATAAACGAAGGCCTTCTGAGGGTAATCCGTGCGGTTTTGTCGTAAGAATATACATATTTAAAACTTTATAAATGAAAATATCTGACTTCCGGCAACGATCGACGCGCGTTCACGGGTGATGGAAGTCGGCGTACGAGGTAGGACGTAGCGTAGGAACCGTCGTGACGTAGACGTTGTTTTGCTCTGCTCTCTGGCTGCGCAGGCGCGTTCGTTCTACGTCACGACGGTTCCTACGCTACGTCCTACCTCCCGCCTACCTCGTACGCCGACTTCCATCACCCGTGAACGCGCGTCGATCGTTGCCGGAAGTCAGATATTTTCATTTATAAAGTTTTAAATATGTATATTCTTACGACAAAACCGCACGGATTACCCTCAGAAGACCTTCGTTTATCCCCCTGGAGCCGGATGGATTACTTTTGTGAAGGATGTATGCACATTTTGGGACTTGAAGGAGGTGGACCCCATTGCTTCACATTATATCCACTGAAGGGTCTAAGACATTTTCTAAAATAACTGAAAATGTGTTCGTCTGAAACAAGATTGACATATGCATCTCGAACGGCTTGAGGGTGAGCAATGCATGTGTTAAATATCATTTTTGGCCGAACTATCCCTTTAAGTATGTGTTCTGAGTTTGTCACACCACAGAAAAATGTGTTATTAGCCACCCAGCCAAATTTGAATGATAAAAAAAGCCGGCAAGTATATAAAATAAGCTATCAAAATCTTGAAAAAATGAGCAGTATTCTCTGCTCTCAAACGCTGGGGGCGTGTCCGCTGGCTGCGCTGAAACCACGCCCACTCACGGGAAAGCTGCCGACGCTGATGTTAGGTGATACTGCTTTCGGGACGGGGAGATGAAGGCCGAGGCGGGAGATAGTCGGTTCGGCCCCATTCACCAGTAACAGCGAATTATCAGTGAATCCCAGTTGTCTCCGACGAAAGTTTATAAAACTATCCGTGTAAAATGATCGCTACAGAGGCGGGTGTTGGCGGTGATCCTCAGCTCTCCATCAAGGTTGGCTCTTCACAAAATTAATCCAACTCTTCTTGATGTGATCGTTTTTAGGAAATTTAAATAAAGACACCGATCTGTTTTGTACATGATCGCATCCAGGTAGTAGCCTACGCATTTCCGTGTCGAAGGCATAGCTAGCTAGCAAACTGTAGGCTGTAGTAACTAATAGGGGTGTAACAATACATCGATATGGATCGATGTATCGATCAAACGTCTAACGATACGATGCATCGATACCACACATAAAATATCGATGTACGGTACCTTTATTTTGACACACTCCACATCCTCACGTAACTTTTCTCCGCTGAAATAGACGCCTGACAAGATTGACTGAACCTTTTGTCACAGAAGCCGGTATTTTCCACAATCATCGCGAGTTCATGTTTTACAGCAGAAACAACAAGCCCCGAAAAGTCTGTTTTAGCAAATCAGTGCGCAGTATTCAGGTCAGGTGACAAGGCTGCTTGTCACTTTGAAAATACGCGCTAGCTGAGAGGAGTTTCGTCAAGCTGACTAAAAGTGATCAAAGATGGATTTCAGCGAACTTGATGAACCCGTGATATTCGGGGCGTAAAAGTAAAATAAAAGCTGAAACTTTGTCACGGAATCTTGCTAAAACAGCACATTTAGTGGTGAGTGAACAGCTCCCTGTATTTTGTGTACGTTAATCACAACAACAAAGTTTGACAGGCGTCTATATCAGCTGAGGAGATTAGCGTTACAAAGATTAACCAAGTGTTTTATTATGTATCATAGCAAATACTTGGCTTTGTTTAACTCTGAAACATGAAATGTGGAGTTATCTGCTTTTGCCACACAATATATATATATATATATATATACATCCTTTCAATGAACTTTAATATAACAGAAGAGTTCATTTGCAAAAACAGATAACTGCGTTCTTGTTCATTTTCATATAGGCTATCATGTTTTTTTTAACTTGTAAATGTCCCAATTGGAAGAGGGTGTGCAATTTTCAAAGAGTTTAATTAAACATTCATGTTATATATTTGGATGTATTGTGAGTTAATAAACGTAACCGGTTGTGTACACTTAGCACATAATATCTAAATATCGATTAATCGATCGATATAGCCCTGAATCGAATCGAATCGTAATCGAATCGTAGAATTTTTTGAGGTATCGGCAAATATCGTATCGCTGGCTGAGAGAATCGATATCGTATCGTATAGTGATTAACTGTCCGATTTACACCCCTAGTAACTAATAGTACAGTAACTCGCGATTGAGCGCAGTGGCCTCAGTGCGTCATCAAGTAGGGGCGTGTCCACGAGGTCAGGGGCTCCAGTGCGTCATCGAGCCCCGTTTTAGCCCCGCCCAAAAAATCCGGAAAATAGCAATGGTGAAAAACTGTTTAACGGTCTAACTCCACAATTCAGTAATTCACAGTTCACAGTCTTTGTAATATGTTTTAGCAATACATTTCTAGCATTTATAATGGGTTTAGAATTTTTTTTTAGAATTCCCTTTACAGGGACTTTAAGAGATATAACCAGTTAAGATGGAAAGGATCTCAAGTTGACTAGCAGAAGACGTTACTGTAGCTATAGGTCTACCCATTAATAGACAATGTACTTCTTTGAAAATAAATATCAGCACAGCGTTAACACAACCCATAAGGAAACGACCCTTCACAATAGGTAATGCTTTACAATGAACTCTTTTAGAGAGTTACATTGGCAATTTATCTGTTCAATAAAATTAAGCGTATCATCTGTTCTGGCAGGTCACGTTAGTCAAGCTCGCATCAGCTGACACTCAGCTGATCCACGTCTACCTATAGGAATACGACACCTATCACTGTATATATAAGCTCCTTCAGTATTATCAGCAGCTATCGTGTTTCTCAGGAGCTAATTACCCTCCTCCATCCCCAGCTCCTCCTCTCGCCAGTCCGTTTGGCATCCGGATCCCCTTTGAATCAGAATGAATTCTCGAATTATGTTGTACTTTAAAATCTTGAATTAATGATATCTGCAATACATTCATGTTGGTTCTGTTCTGTTTACCCTTAGGCGGGTTATTGCTGATCTCCCTGCTCTTATCTATGCTAGGCTGCATGGATCTGCAGGGAGTTCTTGCCCAGAACGAACCATACCGCCAATCCTAACTGTACGCAATTGCCAATCGTATTTGACGATAGTGGTCCTGACAGAAATAATTCACTCACCAGTTGAGTAATAAAAACACCATCTCCACGTTGCTTTTACAACAATAAAAAAAAAGCCAAGCCAATGTTGATTCTCATTTTATTACAAGCTCTGTCATGTTCTCATTTTGCCAGCACTCTCCTCTGTTTGCCAATTCTTTTAAATGGCTGATTCCCTGGAAGTTGAAAATTTAGCTGCTCCATGTCAACCTTTTTCTCTCATTGTGACAACTAAACTCTGCCACTCCCACACCATACACAAAGTAGCACCTTCTCTCTATTTATGTATGATGAGACACCCAGGGGTGAGTGACATAGTAGCCTATGTTCGCAATTTCCCGTGAAAACTATTCCATCAGGTCTAAAATAGGCTATAAACAATTATAATTGACTTACCATAGTGAATCAGGGTAAGACAAAAACACACTGTGGCTCTTTTTTTTCTTACATCATAAATTACTTGTTATCTTGCATTTTGATGCCTGGTGAACGCAGTCATGTGGGAAGCTTCTGGGTGGGAATTAAACATGTTTAAGACTATATTTGTATCTTTCGTTTAATGCCATTAATTGTAATTAAAACCAGAAATTTAAAAAAAATCTTCTGGCTGACTATTCCTATTCCTTTAATTGACACTTTATTAAAATACTCTAGACCAGTAGAATTTTAAGGGAAGATGTTTTACAACAACCTACACTTGATTTCAAGGATCATTTTATACTTTTTGCAATGCTTGACACACTTTTTAGTCATGTAAGTAATCAAAATGGCATTGCTGCAATCCAACTGATGGAAATTTGTCCAAGCGATGGATAACTATATTCCCTGTAATCCAGTAATATTTTGGGATGCTATGCTGTTGATCTCAAAAATAACCAGTCATGGTTAATGATAATATTTTATTTCCACAGATGCTGATGACATAGTTGCCATAATGGTTGGCAATATTCTAGGCACAGAAATCACTAACCTGATCAAGAATGGCTCAGACGTCTATATGGTGATTGCTGTAGCCAATGCACATGGCCTGTGGCTCAATGCTACATGGGCATATGCCCTGTCTTTCACCTTCATTGGAATAACAGCCATCACTTTGTTCTACTTCGCTTTCCTGTTTACCAAACACATGTACATAAACCGACAACTTCGTATGCAACAGGTAAAGTATTCAGTTAAGGTTAAGTTCACTGTAGGAGTCAAATCTACTCAAATATTTAGTATATTCAATATAAAAAACTCAGATATATTCCAGATATTCTAAAATCTCTTAAGGGTTTTTTTCTATTGCTAATTCTGCTCTGTCATCCATTTCTGTGCAGAGGGAGATGAAAAAAGTGACTGAAAAAGCAATAGCAAAGTTACAAGTGCGGACTCTGCGGACAGGTGACCCGGTATTGTCCCATTGCTAAATCCTAAAATAAATAAATGTGTACGGTAAAATAAATTCAGAGAGCATTTAAACTGCAGTGAGTAAAAGCATCATATGTGTCTGTAGGAGGTTGGAACAGAGGACACGAGCTGTGTGGTGTGCACTGACTCATTCACACATAATGAACAGGTCACAGTTCTACCCTGCAGGTGCAGTATGAGGAAATCCACATATGATTTTAGTTCAACATTACAGACGTTTCTAAATTCAGAATAGTGTCAGTATAGTATGTTAATTTCGATGCATTGGATGAGACTATTTTGAAAGATTTTATTCATCCTTATTTATTTTATCTATTGTAACTTCCTTATCTTAGAGCATTGAATATTATATCAAGCAGAGATTCTGTTGAATGAAAGGTCTGATTTTTGTGCCCTGCACATACAAAGCATATTTTAGAGAAGACATAAAACATAAAATATGTTGTCATGTTATATGTATTAAAATTTTTTGAGGTTCATTCAGAGAAAACAGTAGAACATAATATTAAAGGGTTAGTTCACCCAAAAATGAAAATGATGTCATTAATGACTCACCCTCATGTCATTCCAAGCCCGTAAGACCTCCGTTCATCTTCGAAACACAGTTTAAGATATTTTAGATTTAGTCCGAGAGCTTTCTGTCCCTCCATTGAAAATGTATGTACGGTATACTGTCCTTGTCCAGAAAGGAAATAAAGACATCATCAAAGTAGTCCATGTGACATCAGTGGGTTAGTTAGAATTTTTTGAAGCATCGAAAATACATTTTGATCCAAAAATAACAAAAACTACGACTTTATTCAGCATTGTATTCTCTTCCGGTTCTGTTGTGGATCCGCGTTCAGTGCCGCTGCTGACGTAAGACGCTGCTGACGTGTGTCTGGTGCGTCCGTGTATTCGGGTTCAAATAAATATGGCTGGGCAAAAAAATGCAAGTCTTCTTCTGTGTCGAAATCCTTAGACATGTTTGCGAAGATTGTTTTGTTTCCAGCGTGCGTCTCCCTCAGACTGTAAACGAAGCTCGGGTGCACCAGACACACGTCAGCAGCGTCTTACGTCAGCGGCGGCACTGAACGCGGATCCACAACAGAACCGGAAGACAATACAATGCTGAATAAAGTTGTAGTTTTTGTTATTTTTGGACCAAAATGTATTTTTGATGCTTCAAAACATTTTAACTAACCCACTGGTGTCACATGGACTACTTTGATGATGTCTTTATTTCCTTTCTGGACAAGGACAGTCTACCATGTATACATTTTCAATGGAGGGACAGAAAACTCTCGGACTAAATCTAAAATATCTTAAACTGTGTTCCGAAGATGAACGGAGGTCTTACGGGCTTGGAACGACATGAGGGTGAGTCATTAATGACATAATTTTCATTTTTGGGTGAACTAACCCTTTAAGAAATACACACTTAACATAGTTGTTTTAATTTTTTGTAAATATGAAAGAAATGCCTAATATGAAATACATTCTGTTTTTAAAGACATTTATACCATAAGAAATGCATTGAGCCATGGCTCCTGGAACACCCCACCTGTCCCATGTGTAAATATAATATCCTCAAATCCAAGGTCGGTTTGCCAATACACACAGAACCATCTTTATTCAGACAGATGATGTTGCATTTACTAACATGAGATTCTTTATTGTTGTATGTGTTTAGATTGATGAGGAGATAGATGAGCAGCCCTCATCAGCACCATCAAACAACTCATTCTGTTTAGCTACAGTAATGACAGTCACATCAGCAGACCAACACAACACATTAGACTCACACATTCAAACTGCAGAAAGTGAGTAAAGGCTACCACAAAAACATTTGCTGTCCTTTAAATTGTGTTCCTCTATGATGTAGGTGTTAGAAATGAACAACAAAACACTTTTCATTGCATTGCTGATGTTTTATACATGAAGGTGACTTGACTTGACTTTTATCAGATTGCAGCTCAGCACTTACAGACAACATACTCCTAAAAGTTGACAAAAGTTTTTTTTTTCATATGCACATTAATGTTACTTATTTTTTACAGCAAATATTTAGTTTTTAGTGATTATTATGTCAGATAATATATTTACATAGCCTACATGTTTATGATTTATAGATTTTACATATTTAATTAATGGGAAAAATACATAATGGTGTTTCATTGGTCTCTTGTATATTTTTACCTGCTGATTTGTAATTCAAAATTAACATTGTTGTGAATAGCCTTCCACCGCTTGCTGGCTTGTATTAATGCATTTTTTATTACTTTATAAGATAGCAATAACTTACAGATGTAAAAGGTTAATTTACTCAGTTTATAATAAGTCACCTTTAAGTCAAATCACCTTTATTTTTATAGCGCTTTATACAATACAGATTGTTTCAATGCAGCTTTAGTCATGAACAGGAAATGATGCAAACACAGTTCAATTTGGCTGTAAAGCAGCTCTAAAAATAAAAAATGGTAACACTTTATTTTGATGGTCCCTTTTAAACATTCTGTTGACTATAAGTAACTTTGCAACTACATGCCAACTAACTCTCATTAGAGTATTAGTAGATTGTCTGTTTAATGTCCGCTAGCTCTTTATTGTGATGGTTCTCCAACCGACATTATACTGACTATAAGTAACTCTACTAATAATCTACTAACACTCAAATGAGAGTTGTACTTCTACATGTACTTGTAACGTTACTTATAGTCAACAAAATGTGTTAAAGGGAATATCAAAATAAAGTGAAACCGAAAAAAAAAAATCATTGTTCAGTTGAAGTCAGTTTAGAGTTGATTCAGTTCTGTTATAAAGATAATCAATTATTAAATGAGTTCAGTTCAGCTGTAAAGCAGCTCTGCAGAAAACGTCTTGGTTTATGACTGGGGGAAGGGGAACGCGACACTGTGAAATGGTGTTTTTGCTCTGGGAATGCTTCTTGTGAACCAGTGTCTGAAGCACGTGTGTTAAACGCCAATCTTGATTGACTACTGCCGTCAGGTTATGTCACAGGCTTGCTATATAAGGGGTGCCTAGAGAACATGTCATCAGCTTCATGTTGTCTGAAGGAAGATGAGTAGTAATGCCGGAAGTATGGCAACGCGACACAGTGTCTCGTTCCCCTTCTCAGGGAACTCGCACTGCGTCATGGTCTTGACACTATGGGAAAAAAATACCCACTGCTCCATACTGACAAAACGCCTGCCCACTGTGCTGTAAGTCTCTCAGCGAGCTCTTAGCAGTGGCCAAGATGCTGCCACACAACGCACCTGCTGACCAGAGAGCTGATCGCCCCTGGTGCACTCAAGTCGACCCCTCCAATATTACCCCTCGCCACCCTTGGTGGGGGAAGAGGGGGAGGAGCACTGATGGCGATAGAGAGAGCTCGCAAGTACTTCCTGAAATATATGGTGAGAGGATGGAGTGCCTCTGTAGCTTACACATCCTCCTTCTCTTCCCCAGTGAGCACATAAGGGCCTTCTAACCATGTGAAGGGTTAACTTGACCTTTCCCTAATAAGGGAGCTCAACCCGGAGAGACAACCGATGAGGTGGTGATAGGTGGAGAGGTCGGACTCGAGAAGCGCTACCAACTTCTTACCCAGCCTATACCAGCATACCTTCTGTAACAGTGGTCAGTAAAAAAGTGGGACGTGAGAGGCGGAATAGCCCATCTTCCCCTCTAAGTCCGTCAAAGATATAGAATTTGATAAATTAGCAATTTGCAACACTGGGGACACAATGGCTGATGAAACGGAAACGGAATAGCCCATCCTCCTTCAGCTATGTCTAACTACCCTCCTATGCGAATATGAAAGGAGCATACACTTCTATCTCCAGATTTTTTTATTTTTTATTTTTTCTTTACAGAGAAGCGGCATGTGAAGAAGTGGGATGCAAGAAGTGGAATTTCCCATACTTCTCACCAATATCCGCTAGTGAATCAGTCGCTATGAAATAAATGCTTCTTCTTCCGATTGGCCCCAGTGAGCAGACAATGACTAAAGAAATGGCACGCAAGAAGCAGAATAGCCCATTTTCTTTCAGCTGCGTCTGGCAACCCTGCATATGCGAACCAGTGCTTTCATCTCCGTGATATAAAAGGAAAGGTGACGTGAGGAAGTGGGACGCGAAAAGCGGATTAGCCCATCTTCCCCAACTATGCCCTAGGCCTAGAACATAATACTTCTATATTACTTCACTATTACATATATATGAATGCATAAAGAGTATATCATTCTGTGTTCATCCCTAACAAGTAGTAGGAAAGGAGGTGGGACACTAGAGGTGGCATTGCCCATCTTCCTGATCCCATCCACAGATGTTACTTCTATTTCTGCATTCACAGAACTAGGGAGATACCAGATCATGATGTAGGACTCTAGAAGCGGAATAGCCCATATTCAACGTTTTCACATGTAAACTGAGCATTTTGTGCAAAAAGAGCTGCATGCAAGGCATTCTCGTCCTCTCCTGTCAATGCTGTTACAAAAGTATATCACTTTCACTTGCGCACGGTGCACGCACATTTCCAGAAGGCAGTAAATGAAGAAGTGCCATACGAGAAGCGATATTTCCCATCTTCTCATCTGATGTTATCTAAGCCTATGTGCACTAGCCTATGTGCAGAAGGAGTAAACATGCTTCTTATCACTGTATAATCTCGGAAAAACGGTTTCATTCCCAGCTGCCTGAAAAAGAGTGCCCAGATCTCTTCGTCTAGCATTGCACAGTCATTAGTGCCACGGAGCGAGATACTGTTAGGGATCGATCAGTAATCATTAATCATTATAGTAAAAGTGTAGGGGAAGCAAACAACCTCGTCACTGCATCATAAGCTCCATCGGGTGTCTATTGTACATGAAATAGCATCCGACCCCCTACTGGGAAGTGACAGCAAAAAGATTACCGTCGCCAATAACCTTGTATCGTTCCCCTGAACATAATGCAAAATAAAGCTGTACATGTACTCTTTATTCGTGAAGATACAGCGATATCATCCATCATTCATTTTAGAAGAAAACATTTTTAACTGTACTCAGAACCAACACAGACACCCCTGTCTTTTAATCTCTTTCCTTTTAAGGGAATAAAAATGCTTTCCCTTACACTCTTTCTCTTTTTTTAAACAACCTCTTGAACCCCAAAACCCAGAAAGGGGTGGGGAGAAAAAAAAAAAAAAAAGGGGATTAAAAGAAAAAGAGGATAAGAAAAAGGCCGAAAAGGACTCCCAGCATTTAGACCTCTCTTGCTTCTTGGAGTCGATTATCTGTCCTTACTTGTTCTTGAGCTAGGTTGCCACCTGGATCCCCGACCTCTCTAAGGCGGAGCTCTAGCGGCCACACTCACTTTCTGCTCCTGTCACCAACTGGACCCAGCGACAGGCTCAGAAGGGGGAACTTAAGGACATTGCCTGTGGCGGGACACAGTCTCAACAGCGGTGCCCAAAAATTTGGAAGGCGCCACCGGGGCGTCAAGGAGGAATGATCTCTCCTTCTCCTTTAGCCCCGATAGGTTAAGCCATAAATGCCAACATTTGCGGCAAAAGCAGCAAGCGAGCAGCCAGTGGCATAGCGGGTAGAAATTATCACGTGTAGTAATAATAATAATAATAATAATTCATTACATTTATATAGCGCTTTTCTAGGCACTCAAAGCGCTTCACATGGAAGGGGGAATCTCCTCAACCACCACCAATGTGCAGCATCCACTTGGATGGTGCGACGGCAGCCATAGTGCGCCAGAACGCCCACCACACACCAGCTTACTGGTGGAGAGCAGACAGAGTGATGAAGCCAATCAGTGTATATATATATATGGGGATTATTAGGAGGCCATGATGGACAGAGGCCACTGGGCAAATTTGGCCAGGATGCCGGGGTTACACCCCTACTCTTTCGAAAGACATCCTGGGATTCCCTGTACGCGGTTGACGATGAGGAGGCTGGCTCATATAATACATCCGCCTCAATTCCCATCATGTCTAATTTCTCTGAACTAGAGCGGCCATGCAGCATACTCTCCGCCAAACCATAAGCCGGAGAGCTTTCGGATTTGGCGTAAGAGCCTCAAAACTGCTGACAGAGGATTGGGAAAGGGAATCTGCGAGCCCCATTATCCTAAACACTGCACTGCCTCGACAGCAGTGGGTCCTGAACCACGGGGCGCTACCCGTAAATAGAGCCAGTCGGGAACGAAGCCACCACCAGGTCTGACCATGCATGCTATGTTCTTAGACATATCACATATAAATCATGCATGTCGTTTGGCGTGATATATCTCTCACATGGAGGCACACATTTTTAAAACCTGCGTTCACTCATTTTGTTTCCTTTATTTTTCTTTGAGATACACACACACACACAAACAAGCGGATTCCTGAAGACAAAGATGCTGATGACGTGTTCTCTAGCAGCCCTTATATAGCCAGCCGGCGGGCCAGTAGCCAATCAAGAAAGGCGTTTGGCACACTTCCTTAAGACACTGGTTCACGAGGAGCATTCCTATAGTGTCAAAACCATGCCTTTGAAAGGGAATAGTGATGTTATCGTCCAGCTCAGTTCAGTTCTCATCAAATAGTGCAGTGTTCTAATCTTAACAAAGGACTTTGACCCCTGGTTTCACAGATGAGGCTTAAGCCTATTCCCAGACTAAAATGCATGTTTGAGCTGTTTTAACTGAAAGCATCTTGCCATTGTTTATAAAAGCCACTTAAATGTCCTAATCGATCTAATCCTGGCTTAATCAAAGCCCTGTCTGTCTTATCTACTCAGCTGGAGACTCATCAACACTTACTATTGAGTACTGATGCTTGAAACCAAGGACTGTGTGCGATACCAAACAGTAACCAATTATAGAAAAAGACAATAAAATAAGAAATTACAATTCCAGAGAAACATAAAATTCAGCAGTAACACTAAAAACATTGATTTGTAAAGGTAAAGGTAATATACTGTATCTGAATAATGAATAAATTAAACACAATATATGAATACATAAATTCAGCAGTATCCTATGCCCTTTGTCATTATCAATGTCATGCTGGATTAATCTGTATATGGTGCATACTGATGGCTCATGGTTATTGATTTTTCTTTATGACAGCGGCTCTTGGACATACATCAGACCGTGTGTATTATGGCCCGGATATCCAGACACAACACATTTATGAGAACCAAGCATTTGAAGAAGAACCAGAGATAATGGAGCAGCAGGATATCAACAGCCAAGATTAATATACTATAACATATTTTAAAAAATTCTACAGTTTGAATATCACAAACAGCCAAAATACTGTGTGAAATGTGTCAAAAAGAAAGACATACAAAAAGTAAGAATCTTAAAATGGGATGCTCAAATTGTGACAGACTATTTATTAATAACTGAGCACTGTTTGTGTTTGTAATGTAGATTTTAATGACTTTTAAGAAGAGACAGGAAAGAGAGTATAAAAACAAAAATAAAAAAGGGATTCATTACTGTGACAGCTTGCATACCTGTCATGAGCTCAATAAAGCTTGATCACACACACACACACACATTCAAACACTGGTAAATTTAATTTGTAAAGTAAAGTAAATTTGACAATAGGATAAAAATGACAAGTTCCTTTTTTTTCTTCATAAATATACTTTCTCTGTATCCTGCTCTTTCTCCCACACACATAAAGATATGGAGAAAAACACTTCAGCGCTGCCCTGTGACTGAAAAGCTACATGACTATGGAAGGCCAAATTATCTTTTGATGTTCTCAGTAATGTTTACTAGTGAGCATTCCAATTAGAGATCTCTGTAATTACATTTTTACAAGCAAAATCCAGTTTTGGTGGTAACGCATTACAAGTAATTCGAGTAACGTAATTAGATAACTTTTTGAGCAGGTTGTTGATTGTTGATTTTCTTCCATTGAGATGAGTTAACCTTGGATGATCGAACAGTGATCCAGCATATTTGCACAGATGTCATAGTACTGTACATCACCCTATGGAGTGTATTTCAACGTCTTGATGCATCATGAGGTTATGGATGCAGATAAGATATTACCACACACTGAACACTTGGGTAGTAAACTTGACAGTACTAAACTCAGTTGATTGCTGATTGTATTCTTTCTGTTGTTGATTGCACATTTGCATACCCTGATTTAATTTTTGATGGTACAATTGTTTTTCTTCATCATATGCATGGTGTAGGTTGCTGTTTGAAACCTATCCCTAGCCTAGATGATGCCATTAATTAATAATAATAAAAAAAAACTATGATGATTATGTGACAATTGAGTGGCGAAGTATTGTTACTGAAGGTAAAAGTAAATCTGTTTGTAATATGTTGTAATATAATCTAATAATAGGTTAGGGCATTTAGTGGTATTTGTGGTATTTAGTGGAACTAAGAATAATATGGCATAATGCACATTAGGAAAGCAATATCCAATTGTAGAGCCACATGTAACAGCAGTGTCTGTGTCTCAGCTTGCAGACATCTTGGACCTCCTAGAACCTCCTAGGACCACATTTCTACCTTTTTTTATATATTAGGACTATACTATTTTAGAGCACTTACCATTCAGTTTTCAATATGCAAGTAAACTATTTTTTGTATTTGTGAGAGACCGTTTCATTATTTGCAATAGGAAAATAATTAGAAGAATTAAGTGCAGAAAATGTTAAAACAATTTTTTCTACAAACTATTCTGTTTATGATTATGATAATAAATTAAAATAATATAACAAATACCAGTTTGCAATAGCAAGCGACATAAGGAATGACTTTTACAAGGCTAAAAGACAGCTGTGCAAGCGAAAGCCTTACACATTCTATTTTAAAATGACCATGCCCACTCTTATGTTAAAAAATAATGTAAAAAGTTAATAAAAATAAATAATTGCACAATTTCCGTAGGTCTACTCTTTGCACGTGTTTGTTTCAGGTCTCCTCTATTAGAGAAAAAATGGCTCTGTCACAGAAAACCAAGGCCAATCCTGACACTGCTGTGCTGCCTCGGGTAGGCCTACGGCAGGATTATTTGTAATATAAAGCTTTCTTAAGCAACGAGGCTCTCAGAAATGTATTAACGTTGCTGCTATCTGATAATCAAAAAGATTACACACATTTACCGAGCAATTCGATGTGACCAAAATATAAATATGATGTTCAAGCAACTTAATGAATAAACTACATGTTTATACACCTTTAACTAGCCTGCTATGGATGACATAGCCTACAGTTATTTATTCAGAGCAAAACTGTGGTTTTTTTTTCATCATCCTCTGTTGTTTCTTAAATGATTGAATCCTTTACTTGTGTATTCCAGAAAGCAGGTTATGCGACATAAGTAAACGGATAACCTCAACGTTTGGTTCCAAAAACAGAAGCATGGAGGTGTACAGCATTAAATCTTTTTTATTTCTTTCTTAATTCATTATTGATGTTGTGTATCTGTTTGTTTTGTATGTGGTGGTTATTTCCATGCTGCAGAACAAATTGTCCCTATATAGAGAGAACAATAAAAGGTTAAAGTCTAAAGTCTAAAGCATTTGACCAGAAGTAATTTCACTATAAAGGAAACTCTGCAGTAAAAACATTACTGTGCAGCAAAAACATTAATGTGCAGTATAAGCTCTGAATTTTCGGATTTTTGGATGGAGTTTTGGTTCCTTGCCACTGTTGTCTTGGCTTTTAGCTTGCTTAGTTGGGAACATTCAATATTCAACTATATTATTGATCTGCCTTGCTGGTGGACGATGACGCAATTTTCTTCTAGAAACAAACTTTGTTGTATTATTTTCATGTTATCACTGTGAAGCTGCTTTGATACAATCTTTATTTAAAAAAGCGCTATATAAATAAAGGTGACTTGACTATTTGTTGCGAGTGTTGAATTAGATAGATAGATTAGATATTACTGTTTAAAAAAAAAAAAAAAAAAAAAAATCTTTGTTCATGAAGAAATAAAGTCATATCGCTATATCTGGGACGGCATGAGGGTAAGAGAATTATGAGAGAATTTTCAAGTTGTGGGTGGAGTATCCCTTTAATGTAATAATCCCCTGCAAACGTTAAAGACCTGCTCCAGAGAGCTGAATCCACTATAGAGAGCATTTCACGTGTCGTCTTCCTTTAAATATGTGGACTGCAGCTCTTGAGTCCAGCTGCTGCTGTTTCAGCTTCAGTGTCATGCTGGAGGAGGCATCATAAGCGCATCCCTTGCCCGTCAAAAGCTTTGGTGAGTAGCCTACCTGAGTATAATGTTCTTGTTTCGAAAATATCGCGATTTTAAAGGTAGCAGTAGCTATGTCATGTGGTCTCTGACTTTCTCAGTTTTGAAGGTTGTTATATGAAATATATAGGCGACAATAATCTGTTCAAGTAATCAGGAAACAAATAAATCAAAACCGCCGCATTTATTTTGTGTGAGCATCAGTTCACAGGGGACCCGTGCTTAGCCTACGTCTAACAGATGAAGATGAAGACAACGGAATGTAACAGAACTCAAAGCTCCCGAGACTCTTGTCTGAACTATTTTTAACTTGGCACGCATCTTCGAAAATCCGCGTAAGCAAGCAAAAAAAAAAAAAAAAACGTGGTAACTATTAATAACATTAATAAAAAAATAATAATAAACAGAATGGTTGACAATGACGCATTTGACAGTCTTTGTCGGTATATTCACTACTTGTGTAACGTGAGGGTTCGGTATGTGGTGGTAGATCACTCTTTATGATAATAAACAGCAGAATGGAGACAGAAGACTTTCTCAAGCGGCACTTTTACTGAACACCGTCACAACAACAACACTTCCTTTAACAACCTTTCATTTCCAATATGAAATATGAACTCCACTTCTAAACCTTACACTTGCAGTGAATCGAGCAACCCATTTGGTTTGATCCTCAAAATAATAGTTTCGCTATTTCTTGATAGTCAAAGTAGCTGATATGTGGGATCCTCCTCTGCGCATCTAGAAAGCTTTGACAAAGAGCTCAACACGAAAGACATGTTACACATTATTTCCTTAAAGTATTACCTGAGTGCATTAATAGGCTATTCTCCTTTCGTCTGTTTTATTTGTCTGTTTTATTATAACTGTACAGTTTAATATAGGCTAGTATTATAATAAATTGCATGATAATGTTAATATGGAAATTTATTGGCTGCACAAGTTTAGTTCAGACTCTTCTCTTATACAGTATTTTAATTGTCCACAGTGTTCATAAATTAATTCAGTAGTTGATCATAAAGTTGAATTATTCATGTATGCAGGCAGGTCTATAGAGTGTCTCTGCTCTATTTTCATTTCCATGCATTTCATGAAATGTTCTATTCTTGTTGTTGCATGCATATGATAAGTACGTTTTGCCATCAGTAGCTGAGCAGTTGTCTTATGTTAAACAATATTTTTGATAAATTAGATTCATGTAGGCAGGATATGTACATATTTTGTTTACAACTGTTCTAAGTAAACCAGTGTGAAAAGACTGAATGCATTGCATTTGAATATATTTGAATTACATTTGGGTATAAAGGCTACATATTATAGATCAGGTTTCAATGATGTGAGGATGAGAATAACCCATGCAGTGTCATCAGTGTGTGTGTTTGGATGTGGAGGTCATGAGAATGCTGAGTCATACTGCAGAGTAGCTCTCTCATGCTTAGCTTTCCTCTGTATTGAACAGTGGCCACGCTTTGTAAGTTAATCCAATGTCATGACTAATTCAGCAATTTCCACAGAATGACTTTGAGCCAGACGAGATGGTTACTGGTATAACGTTATTTTTTATTTACCTGATGCTAAAGTCATTAATAGGTTATGCACTGACATCACTTTCCCGCCAGAACATGCCCTCTTAGAACTGAGTGGCAACTTGGCTGGCGCTAGTAGGGAAAACTGCAAGAACTAGAGTAAAACAAATGATTACGTGCTTAAAGGAATAGTTCACACAAAACTGAAAATTCTGTCATTAATTACTCACCCTAATGTCGTTCCAAACCCATAAGACTTTCGTCTTTACGTTATATGATAAGGCCAATTCATTGCAAAAGTCATCCTTACCATGAAAAAATAAAGTTTTTCTGATTAGATTAGATAGATTTCTGTAGCACCTCAGTGTAAGCGGCGGATCAAGAGCACGTGGAGCATCTTCTCTTCCTCTTTGCCAGTTACAGGATGAAATATGAACATCAGAAGGTTTATGATACAGTACAACTTACAGAAGAGCATTGTGTCTCATAGGACACTTCCCCCACGGGACGTCACGTTTTTACCTCTTGGTTAAACATGAATATTCATCATAATCCCGCGATCAAGCGCACAAAATAATAACAATATTGCAATCATTTTGACACTAAATAAAATGTGATCTTTTGACTCACGACTGTGCTTTGAACTGCACAAAATGACTGAAAACCGTGCAATCATTTAGACACAAAACATAAAACTGACATGATTGTGAGTGCGACTCACACACCTCTGGACAATAGTGTCAATCACTTCACCTGAATGTTTATGTGTGAATAAAAGCCTAAATTTAATCTGTTCATCATATAAAGTGATCCAGTCTCTTTGGAAAATTTGGACTACACCGCTCAATGGATTCGTTTTACAATGTCTTTATGAACTTTTTGAAGCATCAAAGTGGTAGTTGCGTAGCTGTCAATGGAGGGACAGAAATCTCTCAGATTTCATCAAAAAGATCTTAATTTGTGTTCCGAAGATGAACGAAAGTCTTACAAGAGGGTGAGTGATTAAAGGTATAGTTCACCCAAAAATTAAAACTAGCCCATGATTTACTCACCCTGAAGCCATCCTAGGTGTATATGACATTCTTCTTTCAGACGAATACAATCGGAGTTATATTAAAAAATGTCCTGTCTCCTCCAAGCTTTATAATGGGAGTGAATGGCTGGTGAAGCCCAAAAAAGTGCATCCATCCATTATAAAAGTAATCCATGGCTCCAGGTGGTTAATAAAGGCCTTCTGAAGGGAAGACATGCATTTGTGGAAGAAAAATACCCATATTTAAAACTTTATAAAATCACTGGCTTCCGAGTTCTGACAGATGGCCGTACGCATTGGTGTAAAACTAACCCCTGACCCGACGCACAATGTAATGACGAACACGGAAGCTCAGAGGAAAGAGCGAAACAAAACACCGGTCGCCAATTAGAAATTTTGTAGAGAAATGTAGGAGGATTTCTATATAATAAGAGGAGCTTCAGTTTGTTGCACAGCCCTATTTGATTAAACCGCGAGAGGCGTCTAAGCCTACGATACTACATCCTACGTCATACATGCGTCACGGGTTACTCTTGTGGCGCAAGTCGACTTGCGTAGTGTGCGTACGGTCGTCTGGCGGAAGCTAGTTATTTTAGATTATAAAGTTATAAATATGGGTATTTTTCTTACAAAAACCCATGGCTTCTCTTCAGAAGGCCTTTATTAACCCTCAGTGCCGTGTGGGGTATTTTTTATAATGGATGGATACACGTTTTTGGGCTTCAAATTTTCACCAGCCATTCACTCCCATTATAAAGCTTGATTTATAAAGCTGATTGTATTTAAAGGATTGACCCCCCTTTAAAGGGTTAGTTCACCCAAAAATGAAATTTCTGTCATTAATTACTCACCCTCATTACAAACCCATAAGACTTTTGTTCATCTTCGGAGCACAAATTAAGATATGTTTAATGAAATCTGAGAGGTTTCTTGAAACAACCATAGGCAGCAACGTCATTGAAAATTTCAAGGCACTTAAAGGGCCTTGAAACACATCATTTTAATAGTCCATGTGACTACAGTGGTTCAACCTTAATGTTATGAAGCGACGAGAATACTTTTTATGCGCAAAAGTCAAACAAAAATAACGACTTTATTGAACAACAACTTCTCTTCCGTGTCAGTCTCCTACGCTGATCAAGTTGTAAACACAGTGCAGCGCTTCCGGGTTCTACGCCAGAACGCCGTGCTCCTTATTGGCCAACGATGTTCATGTGATCACCACGAGACGTGGCCAATAATGAGCCAGCGTTCTGAAGTAGAACCCAGAAGCGCGAGACGCCCGTTCCAGCACTGCTGGCCCCTCCCAGGCTCTCTGAGCTACCGGCAGCTACCTCTTGTCCTGCCTATCCCACCCCTGGCCACCCCCTTCTCCAGCCCCTGTTGGACTTATTACGGCACGAGGACGCTCCTTCCGGGAGGGAGTACTTCCGTGTACTGTCACGTTTTGAGTTTGTTTGTTAATGTTTTTGATTTGTTTTTCTGTTTTATTGTTGTTTGAAGTGTGTTCATGGTTGTGTTTCCTCTGAATTCTCTTGTTTATAGTTTTGATTCTTGGATTAAATATTTATTTTGAGTATCTCCTTTGTCAAGCGCTTCATTACAGCCACTGAAAGTGACAACTGGATTCTGGCTTTTTCTGCAAATTGCAGTGATCCATTTTTTTATATTTTCTGTAGCTTTCAGCAATCTGAAAAAGGATACCGCCGATTTTTTTTTCTTTTTTCACCTATTTGGTTTCTTTTTCCACTGTGGGGCGGATAACAGAGCCTTTTGGAATGTAATACAAATGCTTCAGTTGTGTTTTCTACCAGCATGGTTCAGCAAGGTTAGCCATCCGTACTGAGAGTTTTGGGCAGAGAACGGTTTGTAATCGTGCCATGTTGAACCAGGCTCAAGTGGAAATATAAGTAGAACTGTTCCTTACGGTTCTTATAACCACTCGGCACGACGGTAGAAAAGCAGCTGTTGATTCATGTTCACTAAAAGAACTTCAAACATTTTCATCAGCTCTCTGCTTGATTGTTTGTGATCTATGGTCGCGCGTTCCGTGGTCAAATATTTTTGATTTATGAGCACTAAATTGTTTAATTGAACATTTTGCCACATAGATGTGCCACATAGATTCACTACTCTTTTTGTTATTAACAGTGTTTTCTTTGTTATCTTATCTTTCGCAATGTAGCCATAATGGAGAAACATAAAATAAAGGGGTAAAAAGACGTCTGTCAGGCTTGAAGCAGGCATTCAGTAAATCTGATTGAATTAGAACCGTTTAAGCAGCTATATTTGTTATGTTGATTAAATGTGTAACAATTATCAATGGGCGAACAAGGAATAACAATAGCCATTATTAAAGGAAATACACAATACAACAGAAGAATTTCTTTCAATCCTGTTGCAGTTATACTGTTGCTCTACTTGTATGCTGCGGTGAAAAACAAGCCTGTTATTTGTTGACCCCTACACAACCTCATGGCAGTTCGTTACGTTTTGGCGAATAGGTGGCTAATTCATATGCATTTTTGTACGACTCCCTTACACCCCTCTGACTGGTATGTTTACGGGTGAACTTTCATGCTAGAATTTTACAATGCAAGGAGATTTGGTGATACACTTGACAAACACATCACATAGAAACTGCAATTGGAATAAACTGGAAAACCCAATATCAATCCAGTTGCCTCGTTTAAACTGTTGTTTTGGTGAGTGGACATGTGAATATGGGTGGAAAATATGCTGTACTCAAAAAGTTATTCCATTGGTTTTATCGTCGTTCATGAATAATTTAAATTGACTTGAATGTTAAAACAACAGAATGAGAAATGTTTTGCAGGCTGTTGAAGTTGGAACATATATCAGTTTCTGAGTGAAAACAGAGGGTGTGGGCCAAGCTCCTCTCACCACACGCCTGGATGGCAAGATAAAGGTACTCGCTAACAGGAAATATACCCTGATGGATCTGAGTGGCTGATTATCTCTCTGAGCCAAGAGAGTCAGATGGCGTGACAAAGACAACTTTCTCAATGCTGGAGAGAAAATAGTTTTAGGTTGTGTGAGCATTACGTGCTGTATAAATGTAACTGCCATCCTTTTGTCCAATTTGCAGCCAACTGCCTTTGCAAAGAAGACAGTGGGATGACAGACGAAGAGATACCCAATGTGGGTGATCCCCCTCCAACATACATAATCTTCCTCCTTGTCTTTTTCTTCTTCATCACTGGCCTTCTGGGTTTCTTAATCTGTCACTTATTGAAGACGAAGGGCTACCGCTGTGAACTGGAAGAGGATCAAGTAAATTGTGAAGACAAACCGGGGACAGACAAAGATGGCAAGTCATTTCAGCCTTTGTTTTACAAAAATATGCATATGTTTTATACAAAATACGGTCACACTTTAAATTAGGGTCCAATTCTTAGTATTAACTATGACTTTTTCCTCAGTAAACTCCTAATTACTGCTTATTAATATTTAGTAAGGTAGTTGTTAAGTTTAGGTACCAGATTAAGCTGGATTAAGGGATGTAGAATATGGTATTGCAAAATAAGGCATTAATATGTACTTTAATGCCTTATTATATGTATATGTAATATGCATGCTAAAATGCAACTAGTTAATAGTGAGAATTGGACCCCTAAACTAAAGTGTTATCCAAAATCCATACTGTTTAAATATAGTTTCTTATCTTTATATTTTCTGTATCTTTATCCCATGGAGGTTTTATTTATCTCCAAATTCCTGGCTTAATACCTAGTCATCCTTAAAACCCTCACCATCACTTTTTTATTATTATTTGCTTGTATAATCTACTCATATGGTCTAAAAATAAGCATTATTTTTCAATAGATGACCCACCCACCCAGACACACACACAAATTTCTGCCAACCATAACTGCGAAATTATAATAATAGACTTATTTAAAAAGATTTCTGCCCTTGCCGTGCAAAGAGAGAGGATCACTCTCTCAAGAAATAACACACAGTACAATTCTTGACTTTAATAAAACATGGTGGTGTAAAAAAGGTAGATGCTATTTATATAAATAGTGGTACATACTGTTTGCACAAGAATAAATAGCAAGAACATGTTGCACTAAATATGAGAAATGGTGGGTAAAGTTGGTAAAAATTACCTTTGCCAACAATGCTATTTGCACTGTTTAATTGCATTAAATAGACACTGCCATAAGACAAGAGATTGCAAACAGAGTAGCAAGATTGCACATAATACTCAGTTCATTTTACACTTTAATACAACAATAAAGTATGTAAGGATATAAATACTTTTTGACACAGTAACAAGCTGTTCACATTGGCAATGCAAAAAGGTATTAATACATGAAAATTCTTACAAATAGCCCCTTTAAACTGAACAAATACACAGTAAGATTTTGGTCAGTTCATCCAATTGCTTTACTTGTCCCGCATCCATAATTATGTTTATATGACAAAATTAGAAAACTGTTTTTGTCCAGATGAATCAGAAGACAGCCAAGACACTGTGGAACAGATTCTGAAATGCATCATTGAAAATGAAGGTACAGACAATTCGTTCTGTTCTGTTCTGCAGTATTTACTTGTATTTAAACCATTTTCACCACTTGTTTTGCTATTTTTGTCACAGCAAATATGGAGGCCTTCAAAGACATGTTTACTGGGCAAAATGTTTGTGAACATCAAGATCCACGGTATAATCATTACATTTGTGATTTTTGAATATTTATTTTGTTCTATAGTGTGTTAAATATAATAATATTTGACTCAAAGGGGAGATATCAACTTTGTATAAATATGTTATATGATATGATGTGAACTGCCTACATTGAGATTATTTAAGATCTTCCAGTTTGTTTTCAGATATTTTAGTTTGTAAAGTATAAACAACTAATTTATTTTAGTACTCAGTTCAACATTGGCCCCAAATACCTCACAGTGATGCAGGACAGGTAAAGTAATGTAGATGTGTAAATTAGTTTACATTGCTTTACTTGTCCCGCATCATTGTGAGGTATGTGGGGCCAATGACCTCTAAACTAATCCAAATGTAATTTTACTACAAATGTTACCGTTTTACAAACAAACATGTTTTCTAACCAGGTTACATCAGAAAGATGGTGCAGGTGGTCTTCCCCTTCACCATCATACAGTTCATCTGGGTGGTGAAATCAGCTCTTGTGTCCACTGTATGCAAGAACGTATATTAAAAACACGACGCAAAAGCCGTGTGGCTAGAAGCAAAGCTCGGCTAGCGGAGCAGACTGTGTTTTCTGTGGGAAGGTGAGGATCTGTTATATTATTATATACCAGTCAAAAAGTTACAGTAATGGACACACTCATTCTTTATTACTGTTCCACATTTAGAATAATGCTAAAGTCTTAAAAACATGAAATACCACAAATGGAAGTATGACCATGACCATGACCAAATATGTGGAATCGAAACATTTGTATATTTGAGCTTCTTCAAAAATGAATAGACTCTTGACTAGATTATAGAGGTGCATGGTTTGTACATGTTTAAACATCATTACAGGAGTTCCCATGTATGCTGGACAGTGGGACTAAAAAAAAATGTAAATATTAGTTGTATGACAAAATAAGAGTATCTGCGATAAAGATCTTTAAAATATTTCATTTAATATACATGTACTCTTTGTATTAATGTTTTATATGGTTTTGAAAAACTTTAACTCCCGGTTTCACAGATGAGGCTTAAGCGTAAGCATTATTGAGCTGCAACTGAAAGCATATCTTAAAGGGTTAGTTCACCCAAAAATGAAAATTCTGTCAGTAATTACTCTTCCTCATGTTGTTCTAACCCCGTAAGACCTTCGTTCATTTTCGGAACACGAATTAAGATATTTTTGATGAAATCTGAGAGCTGGATCACTCCTCCATACTAGTCCATAGGCTTCTTCAGGGATTGAACTTGCCGGCCTCGAAAAGTTATTAAAGACATCGTTAAAATAGTCCAAGTGACTACAGTGGCTCAATCTTAAGTTTATCAAGCGACGAGAATACTTTTTGTGCGCAAAAAAACCCACAAAAATAACGACTTTATTTCAACTATTAATTTCCTTCTCTGTGGGCCTGGAGTCAGTTCACTAGTGTAATAGCGTAAGCTTCTGTTGTTGTACGTCACACGCATCACGCACATGACCAGCGTCGGCCAATAGTGAGCCTACGTGTGACGTAGCTCTACGGAATCACACTACGTTAACTGACTAGAGGCCCAAAGAGAAGGAAATGAATAGTTGAAATAAAGTCGTTATTTTTGTTTGTTTTTGCGCACAAAAAGTATTCTCGTCGCTTGATAAACTTAAGATTGAGCCACTGTAGTCACTATTTTAACGATGTCTTTAATAACTTTTCGAGGTCGGCAAGTTCAATCCCTGAAGAAGCCTATGGACTAGTATGGAGGAGTGATCCAGCTCTCAGATTTCATCAAAAATATCTTAATTCGTGTTCCGAAGATGAACGAAGGTCTTACGGGGTTGGAACAACATGAGGGTGAGTAAATACTGACAGAATTTTAATTTTTGGGTGAACTAACCCTTTAAGATATGTCAGTGCCAGTGTTTTGTCTCAAGATGCACACAAGTAATGTTTTAAAGGCACATTTATAAAAGCGACTTATATGTCCTAATTGAACTAAGGCCTAATCCTGGCTTAGTCTATGCCCTTTCTGTGAAACCAGGCCTAAATATAATTTCAAATGGTTTAAGTAAAATTCAAAAATTAAGGTCACACTTTAGTTTAGGGTCTAGTTCTCACTATTAACTAACTATTACTGTAGCTATGACTTTTGCTTTAATAAACTCCTAATTACTACTCATTAATGTTGAATTTAGGTATTGGGTATAAATGATGTAGAATATGGTCATGCAGAATAAAGCATTAATATATGCTCTATAAGTACTAATAAACAGCCAATATCCTAGTAATATGCATGCTGATAAGCAACTAGTTAATAGTGAGAATTGGACCCTGAACTACAGTGTTAGCAAAAGTAATAACATATTTCCCTTCCTTTACAAAGGCCAGAGGAGAACTGGCCCACCGACTGACCTTGGTTTCTCCCAAGGTTTTTTTTCTTTTCTTTTCTCCATTCTATTACTTGATAGAATTTGGGGTCCGTGCGACTGTAGGCTTTGGCTTGTTTAGTTGGGAAGACATTTAATATCCAGCAATATTATCAATCTGACTGTACTGACATCAGATGAGAACAAAATTTGAATTGATGTCAACTGAATAACGACACTATTGTCTCTCCTGTCGAGCCGCTTTACAGCTGAAATTAAAGTCATTTCAAAGCTGATAAATTCTGCATCATTAACACTGTAGTTACTGTGAAGCTGCTTTGGATGGAAGATAATAGTAGACTAAAATTAAGATTTGCACTATTTGCATTATGTACAGAATACAGCCAAGCTAACTTAACTAATACTTACCTAAATTCACAGGTTTCGTGTCACCCACATGGAGAAGAGAAACAGCCTGCAAGGTTCGATCAATCTTTCTGCCTCTAAGCCAGGAAACACGTCGAATGACACAACGCTCTCTGATAGCAGGACGGGATTTAAAGACGCTTCCAAAAAACCTCAGGAGGAATACAACATCCGCAATATGTTCAAAGACACTGGAGCAACCAACGGCAAAGTCCTAAATGTAGGCAAACGGAAGAAGAGCGTCACATTGCTCGGCTTCTTTAAGGGCGCTGATCCTGTGGAGACCAAAGGGGGAGCAGAAGTGTTTGAGGAGGACAAGGAGGGGTCAACCACTGCGGATCAGTTATCTGTCTCTCTTGGAGAAGGCTTGAGCTCAGTTGCACTGTCTCCCACTGATGAAACAGCTTTAGATGAAAATGCAAATAAAGGTTCAGGTAAATTAGAGGAGACCAGCCTAGAGAACGAAAAGGCTGATGAAGCGACTTTAAATGTAAAATCGCATGACAAATTAAGTACAAACACAACAGAGATAGTTCGGGATAGTTCTAATGACTGCTCTAGATTTTTGGTGGTACGAACTACGGAAGAAACCGTCGTCCCACCTGCAGCCGCTGCGGACCATAGAGGAGATGATACGACGAAACACAAGGACTTTAAGACTGGCCAAGTTAGTCAGGAGAGTACAGACAATCAGCAGATATGATTACAGCATCATAACCCTACAAGCATAACATTATACAATTATCAGATGGTCAGACAGTTGTTTATTAAGAACGAGACTCATGAAAAACAACACTGCTTTTACCAAAAATACACCTTGTTCTCAATTAATTGCAAATTAAATCTATAAATATGATGGGCTTAATCGAAAAGCAATGGCTATTAAAATATATCGACAATTTGTTGTTTTTCTTTTCGCATCTTTAGAAAGCAGCTTAATTCATTGGGCAATCACAGCTCATATTAAAATAACACTGTACTCAATTGTGTTATAGGGGAATACATTTGTGTCATGTGTCCTTGTATACAAGACTGCAAAAAGGACTGGCAGTTATGCAGGTCATCCATGAATAGAAATGTATTTATAGGACTATACGAACATTTCTAATTATTAAAGACATTTCACCACTCATCCAGATGGCTTCATCAATTGTGGAATAGTGGGTTTTCCCACACATTGAATGCCAAAATACATTTGATGTCATGGGCTGAGGAATTGTGTGAATATGGCTGAAATGTCTGGGTTTTAAAAGTTTGAAAAGTCTTCACTGAACAGAAGAGGGGCAAATGTTACTTTTCAACTTACAACTCATCAAATTATATAATAGCCTAATCATCAGTAAACACCAACAATTTTGTGGAGGCGGACCTCTGTCCAATTTTTCGTTTTAATTTGGAGCAAGAGAAACAGGAGAAGAAGTCTCAGCTCAGTCCGTCTCACTATAACAATCTGATGCATATTGCATACAAAACTGGAAAACACTTTTTCAGTCTATCATTATCTTTTTTACTTTTGAGGATGATGTAATCACTGTTTTGCCAAGTTAGTAACAAAATAATTGTATAGATATTTAGTTTTGTTTGAGATTGTCGTTCCATTATTTAAAAACATGATTAATAGCATAAAGTCCTGGGGTGTTCCAACTGACAGGTGTAACTAAAGTGCTTCTTCAAGCATTAATTGTGTTAAATAGGAACTATGTAGGTTTTTGACATACATGTTGGTGGTAGACTGATAAATTGATCTCATGATATTTAAAATCATGTTCATTCAGTCTTTGTGCAGTAAAAAGCAAAAATTGCTACAACTGTACTCAGTTTACCCTATGTTTGACATTTTTCCATGGTTTCCATTGAGTTTCTTTTTTTTTCCTCCATGTCAGTTGTATGTTTTTGAGAATAGAAAATAAAATATTAAAATAAAATAGTTTCAGCCAGCTCTGTTACAGTGCTCAATGGTACAAATTTACTGACATTTGATGACCTAGAAATAATGCATCAGAATTTTAAATATGTTGCATACATGTCACAATAATTTCATAATAATTTTCAATATTATATGAATCAGCTGTTGGAACCAATCACTTGAATGAATGACTCAACTCACTCATTAAGGCAGTCAGTGTGTCCAAAATCACTTACTGTATAGTAAGTATTACATTTGGTTTAAATTTTGCTTTGCGACCGTTAAAAATAGTTAATTCTATAAATGAATGTTTGGATGTAATACATCTGTTGTCACAGTCATGTGACCTACGGCATCAGTTACGTTGCTTCACCGTCATTCACAAATCTTCTTGTGGCCTCATGGGATAGAAACTTTCATGGGAAAGTTTGTTCATCAGATTCACGCTTCAGAATTTCCCCGACAGTAGTGGGTCATCCGTGTAGTTTTTGCTTACTGTTTGATGAATACTGTGAATTCAAAATTTCAAATTCAAATCTACTCTGCACACATACTGCTTTTCGCCTACTAAAGTAGTCATATTCGGACACTTGCAGTCACTTGCCACCACCTACAGGATTTTTTTATTTTATATTTAAATTGTTTCTTTTTTATCATTTCATATTTAAATATTCAATAAAAAGCAGATTGATTCATTCAATTCATTCACTTAATAATTGAGGTTTTAATTGCTGTGTAAATGCATACATTACACACATATACATGATACAATCTGTGTAAATGTAAGTGTTTTTAATTTGGATTGACAGGTAGGGCTGGGACGGTTACCGCATTACCGCGGTCACGTGACTCCAACCGCGGGTCTGAGCTCGTCACCGTCATCACCGCAAAAAAAAACAAAAAAAAACATTGGCCTGCACATGTGTGCACGTTGTGTCTAATGATATGGATTCATTGATTCTAATGACATGGATTATTTCTAATGATAGTGTGTCTTACATGGATTCAAGGTTTTCTAAACAAAACTTATCAAAAGATGGAGCAAATCCCTTTCGCGAGTTGGGGAGCGCAATGTTCCATGACACATAGCATTACATTCGTATTAGAGATGCGCGGATGGGCTATTATTATTTCATCCGCAACGGAACCGCAGCACAAAACGCATCATCTGTCCGCCATCCATCCGCACCAACGTTTTTTGATCAATTTTCGTTTTTTGAATTTTTTGATCAGTTTTAAGGTCTATGACCGATGCAAAGCGCTGCTGCCGCGAGGCTAGAAAGCTCTTGGCTGTTCTAGAAAGGAGACTGCGCATGCAGCAAAGATATCTAAAGGCTAAAGTCCCTAGTATAGCCTATTGGCTATGTTGTATCCTCAGAATATCAGCAGTGAACTCCGTCTCCGATGGGCGCACAAGTTTCGGTTCATTTATGAGACGAGCTCCAGTTCACGCGCAAGAGATCGCACCGTCGCTTCCACCGTCCTGATTATATGTCTGCTATATTTGTATAATTCCAGGCAATTAGTTAATGAAACAGTGATTAAAATTAAGATACAATTTATACAAAACGAAATTTAATTTAAAGAAAGGCTTTCTACAAAACAAAACTTAATAAAGTGGTCAAAATCATGTCTGACCCATATGATCCTATCTTACTCATGGTGTTCACTTTTCATATAATCGACATAGATTAAATAAAAAATAACATTATATTATGTTAACATAAATATGGAATATCATTTTTGTAATTAAGACATGTTGGAAAAGCTGTTCATCTTTCATTTCGTTCAACATCATAATTCTCCTGAAAATGATGAATTCAATGCGAATGTATCTGAGAATATTCTTAAATTAGGAAATCTATTCAGTGATTGGTTCATGCCAAATTACAGCTTAATGAAAATCGGACTTTTTTTCGGATGTAGGTGAAAATATTTAACAAAGTCTGTCTAGAAAAAACGCCTTCTGGTGAGTGCGCGGAAGTCTATCGGGGGGGGGGGGGTTTAAAGCGGTTTACCGCTATACCGCGGGAATATCTTGCTTTTCAACCGCGGTTAGAAAAAATCCATACCGCTCCAGCCCTATTGACAGGATTGCTGCTGCTGCTGCTGAGTTGGTTTGCGTCTGTAAGCTTTGTATATCTTTCTGTTTTGAATCATTATTTACTTTCATTCCCTGTAGTCGCGGGACAAAACACTGCTCTTCCGTTCCGATTACAACATCAAGCAGGATCTCCCTTCTCAGTGAAACACCCACTGTTGAATCCTGTTGAATGTGCCCTAGTTATTGGTGATTCTACGGAATGTGAAAATAGGGACACCAGCCACCATAGTCACAGGTTTACCGGGAGCCAGAGCGCCTGACATCAAAGCAAATTTAAAAGTGCTGGCTAATGCTAATCGTAAATTCTCTAAGATTATTATTCACGTCGGCACTAATGATGTTTGACTTCGCCAGTCGGAGATCACTAAAATTAACGTTAAAGAGGTGTGTGAAATCGCAAGTAGGATGTCAGGCACTGTAATTTGCTCTGGCCCCCTTCCTGTTCGCAGGACAGGAATGATGAGATACTTAGTAGACTGTCCTCACTCAATGGCTGGCTGTTGAAGTGGTGTCCACAAAATATTATAGAATTCATAGACAATTGGAAATGTTTTTGGGGCAGACCTGACCTGTTGAAAAGAGATGGTATTCATCCCTCCTGGGATGGTGCTGCTCTTCTCTCTAGTAATATGGCACATAGACTTAGAGCTCAAACATGACGATCTGGGGCTCAGGTCAGGAAGCAGAAAGACTGGCTAAACCGACCATCTGCTAGCTGTCTCACGTTACTGAGGTCAGATAAATCCCATCACATAGAGACTCTGTCCCCTAGATATCATCACATAGAGACTGTGTCTGTTCCCAGAATTAGGAAATACAAAAAACTTCCAAAGCCATCTAAGGGTAAAAATTTAATTGATGTTCAAATTGACAGATGTAAAAAACAGATATAATACAAATGAACAAATGATAAAGCTCGGGTTGCTGAATATTCGATCCCTTACTTCAAAAGCACTTATTGTTAATGATATGATTACAGACTATAACTTACACGTGCTGTGTTTGACAGAAACCTGGCTAAAACCAAACAATTACAATACGTTAAATGAGTCAACCCCACAAGATTACAGTTATAAACATGAGCCTCGTCTGAAAGGCAAAGGGGGAGGTGTTGCTGTAATTTATAGTAATATTTTCAGAATTACTGAGAAGTCTAGATACAAATATAATTATTTTGAATTGTTGGTGCTTAAATGTAACAATGTCTAGTGTAAATGATAAATCACGTTTGAGATTTGTGCTGGCTACTGTATACAGGCCATCATACAGACTTTATCAAAGAATTTGCTGACTTTCTTCGAGTACTCGCTGCAGATAAAGTCTTAATTGTTGGTGATTTTAATATACATGTAGATAATGAAAAAGATGCATTGGGATTGTCATTTTAAGACATTCTTAACTCTATTGGAGTTAGACAACACGTGTCAGGACTTACTCATTGTCGTAATCATACTCTAATATTATCACATGGAATCAATGTTGATGCCGTTGAAATTCTGCAGCAGAGCGATGACATCTCAGATCATTATCTAGTCTCATGTAAACTTCATTTAGCCAAGGCTGCAAAGCCGACTCCGTGTTATAAATATGTTAGACCGATCACTTCTTCCACTAAAGATTGCTTTATAAATAATCTTACTGGGCTGCGTTTTTCAAAAACATCATAAGTCTAAAAAGTTCGTAAAAATGATCGTACGACTCATCTTAATATTACGGTCTGTTTCCCAAAAGCATCGTAACTTAAGTAGCACTTGAAAATCATCGTAGATCTACGAGTGCTCTGGAGTAATCGTAAATCCCCAAGTGCATCATAAGAAGACATAGTTATGAGGTCACCTGCAGGACAACCGGCAGATTACACCTTTAACTTTATTCAAGTCCAATGTGATTA